AGGGTGGTAATAAGTCATTTAATAGTTGAATTCATGAGTTGATTAAAGCTAGAAAACGTGGAAGCACTGGACGATCGTTTTGTTCTAGTATGAGACTCTTGAACAGTGAGTATCCATGATCTTGTATGAGGGTTTTCCATGGTGGTCTAGCTTTAATTGATTCATGAATTTAACTATTAAATTACTATAATCATTACAAATCGCCATCATGATAATAATCATCATATGCTCACTAGTGACTGACTTCAAGAGGAATTTTCTAAAGTTCTAGCGAGGAGCTATGACCAGTGGAGTTCAACTCTTTCTATTGTGAGGTAGTTACTTACTGAAGACAATAGCGAACGGTGGTGCAATATCGTGGATTAGTTGAAGTTAGACATTAACACAGTCGAATACCAGACAAGTTGTTTAGAGGTTAAGCATTCACACACGAGACTGAACATCTTGGATTAGAATCCCGCGTTCAGGATCGTGTGTGTTCATTGTTCAGGAGTCCCATACTAGAAGTAAACAGTTGTCCAGTGTTTCCAAGTTTTCCATGGTGATCTAACTTACATCAACTCATGAATTCAATTATTAACTTAAACCTTTATTGATTTTAAATACGAAAAACAATAGTAAAAAGATAGTTCTTATTTTGTAACAGAATTATTTAATCAAGATGTTTTCATTGTAGATTTCTATAAAAGTATATCGATTCATTATAAATTATGCATGGAAAATTTAGTAAGGTATTTTGTTGAGATAAAATTCATCAGAACATGATTATGCATAATTAGTTTGAATATCTTCATTTCTTTGTAAACTAATAATTACTACGGTAATACGATTCTTTTTGGATAAGTTCGTTTTTAAAACTGTATAATCGTATGGAAATTGTCTATTTTTAAGTGGTAGTCGTCATAGACGACATTTGGGCGGGGATCTTTCGTTATAATACACAGCTCTATAATGTTCTCTCAAGAATATTAGGTTTCATAATTTGCACTATGGCATTATATAAATCGGCTAGTACTCAAACGCACACACTTTCATCTTTAGTCAATGTACAAATAGTGTCTAAGTAATCGAAAAATCTTGACGGAATCACTCAATCGAAATTGTATTATTGTTACAATATTCATGTAATAAACTATGCTCAGTAACTTCCGCTTGGAGCCGTTCTAAGGCTACTGCAGGTCCCAAGCCTGGATAAAGAAGGAGGGTAAGGCATGAGGTTAGCGACCCCATCCCTTACAAAACTAAATCGCTAAAAACACACTAACCAGGAAAAATAATTCAAACCAGTAAATTGATTTAGTCTTTCATTTATAGAAATTAATCATAGGGGAGAGAGTGTATGAAACTGAAAATATTTAACCACCAGAATAATAAAAAATAAACCCCATTGTCCTAATCTAGATAAAAGGTGATCAACAGGAATGATAAATGGAAAATAGTCATTAGCAAAAAACATATATTTTTGTAGAAATTACAAGGGGGGAAATGTGGTTAGGTCATGCTGACGTGAAGACTATAACAATGCTTTTTTGTGGATATAACTCTGGTTTCACGTAGTCGACGCTTGAATATTCTTCAATCGATGTAAAGTTATTTTCAGTACGGATTTGTAGAAATCTATAACTATATCTTAAAAATGATTTCAAGGGAAAATTGAATGTCATGAACCTTCTACGTATTTCAAAATAAAGAATGTAACTGATCCGGAATGTCATGCGCTAAGGTACATTGTGATATGTTTTCGTTTGCTGAGAAGAAAAAGTTTCAATGAACAAACTGCTCCAAGTTTAAATCGAAATTAGTTGTTTATGATGTCTTGGATATCTTTAAATATTACCTACTGACAAGAAGCTGTGAGGTGACCAAATATTGTTCAGATATTAGTTTCTGGAGTTACTAACTGTCAATGTGATCCATATCAGTAGGTATTTGCTCCTTGATTGGAGTAAATTCAATAGACATAATACATGATTCTAGACAGCGGGTGACATAACTTAAAGTCGACAACTATGACGATGATGTAATCATAGTTTATATTCCTCTAAATTTGGAGCTTAATGTCAATTCATGCTTTACATCAGCCAACTTTATTATTCACTCTTAAATCATATTTTTTCATATATTCACCTTTCTATTGGAGTGGATATTATTATTTCATTTATGGTAATGAAGGCGATTTAAATTAATAAACATTTACCCTCTAGGTTTTACATTGTCTATGATTAACTGAATTAACTAGTTATTTATTTTGTCATGATGACATCTGTTCACTTAATGTTTCAATATTAGTTTCGTGAGGAAAATTTGCAGTTTGGCTAAATTAGTTACTCCCTTACTTATATTATAAATGAGTTGTCCTGATGTAACAAAAGGTCGATTAAATTAGGCCAATAAACAATGAATATGGTCATTTGTAATAGGAAATGATTACTAGTGATGAGTTGAAAATGAATCTCAATTTTAATATCAGTTTGTTAACCTTACTAATGAAACCAGATAATTACAGGTAGTTAGATATACCGATTGAATAGAAATGTTTCCCGCTAATCGTTATTATCTGGTTGTCATATAATTGTTACCTAATTTCATATAAAAAGGATATAACTAATATTGTAGTGTAGGAGAACACAGGTAAGGACAATCGAATCATATTTAGCAAAAAATTACAGTTACTTGGTAAAATAGAAAAACCGGCGAGACTCTAATTTAGGGACGATCCAATCCGAAGCGTTTGAGCAATTTCAAGGTCACGGAGCCAAGTTCAACACGCGATGCTAACACACGATCTGTTCACAGCGGATTTTAGAAAGTAGGTGATTAATGAGAGGTTACAATAGATGGGACGTCGAGACTTTAATTTAGGGACGAGCCAATCAGAAGCGTTTGAGCAATTTCAATTATTAGTCAATAAGAAGACAGCATAAAGTAAAAATATATTAAAAGAAAGTAATGAATTATAGTGAATATTCTTCTTTTACATGATTTAAAGACTCGTATGTTAGCATCCTAACCCTAACCCTCACCTAACCCTAACCCTAACCTTAACCCTAAACCCTAACCCTAAACCTTAACCCTCAACCAGCCCTAACCCTAACCCTAACCTTAACCCTAAACCTAAACCTTAACCCTCAACTAACCCTAACCCTAACCTTAACCCTAACCCTAAACCTAACCTTACCCGCAAACCTAACCCTAACCCAATGGACGAGTTTCTATTCCATATGCATCCTGAATTCAGAACCTCTGAACCTTAATCAAACTTTAACAAGTTTTTAAATCATGTAAAAGGAGAATATCCACTGTAATTCATTACTTTCATATAATATATTTTCACTTTATACTAGCTTTCTTCTGATTGGCTAATAATTGTCAAGGTCACTTGAGATTCGTTCAAAGGTCATCTTTAAATTAGAGTCTCGCCGAAAAACCATACTATAATAGTTAATTTGCAAAATGTTCAATGTCTCGAACTTCGTTGTTCTTGCAATTCCGTACTAATTGCTTTCTATTTCCGCCCTTTCTTTCTTGATCTTCCCCATCTTCTGCGCCAGACATTACATTCCTGACTCGCGTCATATACTACTTATATCAATATAAGTAGCACGTACCACAATACTATTTAAAAGTGAAATGGTTATATTTGTCAAAGCATGATTGTATTCTTTATTGGCTAATTTTATAGTAACTAAGACTACTTAGGAAAGTTGTTGAAGTTATGCTATCTACTAAATTTCTATGGAATATTAGTTGGTTTGTAATTAGTAATTAGGTTCTTCACCTGGTCAAAATCAGCGTCAATATATTCACTATTTGAGTCTTGTTGGTCTACTTATAGAAACTTATAAGCTGTAGTACTATTCAATGGAATATGATACAAGGTAATCGGTTTGATTATTTTTGAATATACTGCGAATGATCAAGCAATCACGATTACTGTAAACTTAGTAATCATTCCACACTATGCATCATTTATTTATTTTCATTGTGAAATTAGGTTTTCATCTTATTAGCTTCCTGTTGTTTTCTTTAAATATAGAATTTTCATCCTAATCCCAATGGAATTATTAATTTTAATTTACGAAACGATAGCTGAATAATTGGTCTATTTTCTTTGTCCTTTAACCCGTTTCTAGACGCAAACAAAGATCGAGAAGACGATATAATTAACTAAATAATAATGATGATGATTGTTATCCCGAACCAGAGTCTGAATAGACACTTCTACCGTGTATAATATAGAATCAAGCAAGATAAACGACCATAACAATAACAGGAAACAAAATGATTATTGTCTAAGAAAATATAGTCTCCTTGAAATTTAAAATACATATCGCTGATGAATTTGTGATTAATTAAATACCTTGTAAAACAGAATTATCCTTAACGATAAGTTCTAAGTTGAATGACGTGGAACATATTACGCTTTATTGAACTATTTTCACTTGATCTGTACAGTGAAAACACATATATGGAATTGGTTACTACTGAAGAATCAATCAATGCAAATATGTTAGTCTCATTAGATATTGACGGCTGCCAGAACAGCCCAGTAGTAACATGACAAAGTTTGACACTAGGTGACACGAGTATGAATCCCACAGAGTGTACTAGTACATTCAAGACTGATGATATGTTCTATTGAAAAGTCTCAACTAACACGAAAATTAATTTCACTTGTTTGTGCCACTCACTACCAACTAACGAATATCAAAAGTTATCTTACAACATAATCATCAAATTTCTCCATCTTACTTGCTTACTCCTGTTACCCTTCATGGAGGAGCATAGGCCTCCTACCAGCATTCTCCATCCATTTAAAGTTCAATATGTTTATTCTGGCTAGTGTTTTATTTAGGAAGGTTGTTTTCTACGGGATGTGGTTGTTGACCATATGCCCAACCATCCTCCTTTACCGGTTCGAGACCAATAGTAATCCTAGAAAAGCTACAGTCAGAGTTGTCCACCTACTCAAAAAAAAGTTTAGACAAAACTAATCTAATCAAAAGTAAACCAATGTATTTATTGTACTAAAAAATTACTATTCCAACTTTCACGTGTGTTGTGTGTGTGTGTGTTTGTGATTGTGTGTTCTCATTATCACTGTGTTCATCAATTAAAAAGAGAATTAAATACAATTTGTAAATATGCACAAATTATATTCGTAGTTGGTATAAGTTTTATTGTTTAAGATTATATACAACAGGAATTTGTATTGTCACTTTCATAGAAAGAATTATGTATAAATAGTGTCATCAGTTCAATAATGAGGAGAATAATAATTTATTAATCAGAGCAAATTAAAAATAAAAGATAGTGAAACATGGTAGTTATTTTTGTTTGAAAGCAAAACAAGAGTGAAAAGAGGTGGTTGCATAAGATGAAGCAACGTAACCACTGGTGGTAAAAACAAACAAACAAACTAGAAAAAAAAAGTAAAGAAACGAGGCAAGTATTACAAGTAGATTTCGGTGGGAAAAAAATGAAGGAATTTAAAGAGAGGAGATGATCTCCCTTTGGTAGACTATTTTATTTATTCACTGGATCTTGTTTAAACAACAGATCATGAAGAATAAGTAATGGTGACTATGACATACTTATCCGTCTAGATCTTCATTGTATATAAGTTGTATGTGTATAGTTACGTGCGTGTGTGTGTAGTTTATAGGATCTGATCAAATAAGCAAATCATTGGTAGAATACACAATAGAAACGTTGAATTACAAGATTAGTGAATAAGATAAATGATTTTAATATTTCCAAATGTATAGTCAAAAGGAGAACAGAAACATTGTCAATATTGAATTTTATTTTAAAGAAATAAGTGAATAAAAGCTATGATATTTAATCATCACATGGTCCCCAGTTTAATATGGGCACAGGGGGAAGGGAGGGGAAATAGAGATGGGTGATTAGGATGTATGAAAAAATAGAAGCAGTATAGAAGCAGTAGCTGATTGAGTACTATATATTTTGTCCAATAGAAAATTGAGTTTTTCATTGTATTTATTATTATTAACCACAGCAGTATGAGAATTCATTGAATTATTATCGGTAATAGTAATAGCAATAATTTAAGTAATACATAAGTAGTATAGTCATTAAGAATTATTTTAGTGTTCAATATATATATTTTTGAAGTGAGAACTTTAAAAAGAAAATGCTTCTTTCTTTTTAAGTGTCTGTTTATGAAAAGAAAGACCTGATGATATGTGGTCATATTAAATAACTAAAAAGATTAACCATATAACAATGACTTAAAGACACAATGAATTCAGTAGTGACGTGGAGTATTTAAGTATGCCGAGAAAAATGGATGTAAAAAAGAAAGAACAATCGTGTCCGTTAAAAAACAAAACAGAGAGGAAAAATCTGAAAAGAATATGAAACAAAACAAAAAATCAATTCAAAGTTATATCATAATTTATTTTATTCTGATTCACTGAGTAGACTAGATCGATTCACTAAACCTGTTGACATTGGTAATGTACCTTGATTAATTTCAAGTGTTCTAGGCACATCATAAACATGACTACCTGTAATAGAATATGGTGATCCAGGCGCTATAAGCCAATTTCTTATATGTGGTTGTGTATTCGTTAAAAATGGTGATAATCCAACTGTATTTGTTTCATTATTTAAAAGATTTCTTAATTTATGTTGTTGTATTAATGGAGTTGATGTTAATATAGCTAAACTTTGTTGTAAATCATCTGTACCTGAACCAGATGATGATGCTAAATGAATTGGTATTGATGGTGGTGATGGTAATGGTGGTAAACCATTACCATTACAAGTAACTGTTAAATATTGATTTGTAAGATTTGGATATTGATTGATTTGTGCTGAAAAATCATTATTATTATTACTACCATTATTATTAGTAGTAGTAATAGTAGTGTTGGTAGTATTAGTAGTAGTAGTAGTAGTTATAATATTATGACCATGTAATGTTGATAAAATCATTTGTGAATAAGGATTTGTATGTGTTCTTATAAAATTATATCCATTCTCATTTATGATATTTGATGAATGGATACCATTTAATTTCATTGGTGTATTATTATTATTATTATTATCATTGATTTGTTCGATCATATTGGTATCATTATTGATTAATTTCACTGGATGATATATTGATTTAGTATCATTGATTCCAATAGTACTACAACTTGATGTAAATTGAAATAATTTATAATGTTTACATAAACGTAAACATTTAGCACTAATTAATAAAAAGATTAATGTAGTAAGAAATGTACAAATCACTGCTATAGACATTTCTAATAATGTAAATTGTTTTTGATATAAATAATAAGATTGATCATATAAGATTTCATTACGTAATAAATCATCTGATTGTTTGATATAATAATTACGATTATTAATATTGGTATTGGTTTGAGTATTGATTAATTCATGATCAATCGATAATGTATTATTGATTTTTGGTATATTGATTAATTCTGGTCCTTTTAATGTTACTATAACTTCTTCTGTTTCTTTTTTATCATCCCATGTAGTACATGTATATTTACGTGGTTTTTTATCTAATGTAATATTTAATTGAACTGTTGCTGATGGATTATCCATAGTTGAATTTATTTGATATAAATATTCATTATTATGATTAGTTAAATGATTATTTGTTGTTAAATATCTTACTTCACGTAATTGTCCACTTTCTATATAACGCCATGCTACACCTGGTGGTGTATGACTTAATATTTTATTATTAGATATAATCATATTTGTATTATATAATAGATGTTGTGAATGTTTTGGTACATTGACTGCTGTACATGAAATTAATGCTCGACTAGTATCATCTAATATATTAATAAAAATTTGTTGTATACGTGATGTTGGACATAATTGTTCCGGTGTTAATTTCACTAATTCATAAATATTTTTAATTTTTTGTATAGAATTCTGTTTTTTAGTAAAATGAATACATGTCATATTTAAACCAGGTAAACTATCTTTCCAATCTATAGTACGTTGAACAATCCATGATAAACGACAATTACATTCTAATGGATTCCCAGTTAAATCAAGTAATTTATTAGGATAATTAAAATATTTTTCAAATCCATCATCAATAGTTGTAATCAAATTATCCGATAATATTAATCTATCTAAACTTGGTACTTTATGAAATATTTCATAATGAATTGACTGGATACGATTCCCGCGTAGATTAATTTGATTCGCTGATAAACCATGAAATGAATCTTCTGTAATTAACATACCATTATCTGGTAATGAATGTTGTTCACTTAAATATAAATGATTTAATTGTAAACCATAAAATGTATATGATTCTATACGAATTAATGAATTATGGGATAAATCTAAATGTTTTAATTCAGTCATTTTCATAAATGTTCGTGATTCAATCACTTGTAAATTACAATAGATTATACGTAAATATTCTAATTTTTCTAAACCAGTCATATTAGCTTGATTTAATGAATTCGGTATAGGGAAATCACTTTGTTGTATAAATAATTTTGTTATACCATTTGGTATATTGGTTGGTACACCATATAAATGATCTTGTCTATCACAATGGACAACATTTTCACCTTTTGGACAATGACATTGATTTTCACATAGACCTGGTTGAATATATTGAGCATTGAAAGCATTCATAATAAAGATTATAATTATAGTGGATATATAGAAGTGTCTATGTATTGAAAACATTTTGAGAATTAGTTATGATGAATTATTGAATGATGTAGTTTCATTGAAATATTCTTGTTATTTGTTAGATTGTTTGTTTAAATATTCTGAAAAATGAAATGAAATCAATTCAATTAGAAAGTATTGGATTGAAACAAGGCTATATAAAAACCTGAAGTCAGTCAGCCAGTCAGCTACAACATAGGACCAGGTACATATATGTATCGTTTCAAGTTGCCATACGTCATTAGCACAACATGATGAACACCGGATTCCTAAAAGTAGTTAATTCAGAGGTGGTAATATATAAAAGAACGATTACATACAAAGATATAGTACAGGAAGAAAGAATTAGTTAGTAGAAAGAAAGATATCAAACGATTTTAATCTCATAGTTTAAGGGAAGAGAGAGAGTGTATACATCTACGCCATTGCGATCAATTCTGAGCCGCCACCAATATTCTCCAACCATTGGTTACGACAGTCACGCGGACCCCAACCGAGTAGTCTGCATCTGCCAACATGGCTCAGACTAAAAGTAAGTGACTTCAGGCACTGATATTACGTTTTAGTTTAGTCACCCCCAACTTTCTTTCAACCATCCCGAACACCGGTTAGCATTGCACGTCGTGGTAATCGGTGTTCAGGCATACGTAACACGTGGCCCAACCATCGATTAAGATTCACAACGTCATCAACTGATTTACCTGAAAGCAATAGATGACAGTTTCGTTCTAGTATAAGATTGATTGAAGTTAGATATTAACATTTTTGGGTTCTGGATGAATGGTCTGAATGTCCTGAGTTTGAGTCCCGCGTTCAGGGTCGTGGATATGCACTGCTCAGGAGTCTCATACTAGAACAAAATGGACGTCCAGTGCTTCTATGTTTTTAATAGTCGTTTAACATTGTTTCATTTATGATATAAATCTAAACCCAACAATCTCCACAATCCAATACTGATAATTAAAATCTTTATCGATTAGATCAAGTTGATTTGGTGGGAATTATTTAGTGAGTAATGACTCAATTTTAAATATACACTAATAGGAGATATTAGCAACAGCCATTTCCGGGAGACAACAAACTAGCTTTCAGCTGAGGATTAAATTTGGAAAACGCGATGGAAATGGATAGGATATACATTAGGCAATTCATCAAACCGCATCACAAGGCAACCCCTAACTTGGAATCCTGAAGGGAAACGGAAAAGAGGAAGACCAAAGAACACATTACGTCGGGAAATAGAAGCAGATATCGAAAAGGATGAATAACAGCTGGAAGGAGCTGGAAAGTATTGCCCAGGACAGGGTTGGATGGAGAATGATGGTGGGCGGCCTATGCTCTTTGACGAGGAGTAACAGGCGTAAGTAAGTAAGTAAGTAAGTAATGGGAGATGGTTTACACTTTCAATTGTATTTAACTATTTTGAAGATTTTTTGCATATCACCCCTATTTACATTCAGAACAGATTGATTTCACAAAGACTAAATAAACATTATTTTTCAAACTTAATTTATAAAGAGATTAAATCATCATTGGATTACACATACTTGGAGATCAAGCTTTTTGATACTTTACTCTGATTTATACCTTTTAATCTGTTTGTGTTAGTTTCTGGTAAATTTTGTTTTAAACTGTAGATAATTTGCTTATAGAAATAGAAGTATATTGTGGTCTTTTTTTGAAACATTTGAACAAACCAAGTGATTTATGAATGGGGAAAAGTTAGTGACCGTCAGTAATATTCCACATTATAATTGTACTAAATTTCAAACAGACTAGACAAAAAAAGCTTACATAACAGATTTTTACCTGTTCTCTAGAAGAATGGGGAACTCATAGTTTAATCCTTGAACCACTTGACCTTTATCAACTTTCAGATTGTATTTTACAAGCTATTCGGTACACTCTAGTCAGAACAGTCGAGTAGTATCAATAGCTTCGACATAAACATATTTCTGTTGAATTTAATTCTAAGTTCTAACATACCTATTCAATTACAGATGTTTACATGGTCGGTAAGAGTAGAGGATATTCGTAGGTTACTAGTATTTGATCATAGGTGTCTTCGAAACATTGCTCGTATATCATGGGACCATCGAGTAAGTAATGCAGTTGTTAGGAAACGGGTACTAGGTAAGGATGGCAAATCAATTGATGACGTAGTGAAACTTCATCAGTTGAGATGGCTGGGACACGTGTTACGTATGCCAAACCACCAACTGCTTCGACGTGCGATGATTTATGGTGTAGGAGTAGGTTGGAAGAAAGCTAGGGGCGGCCAGATCAAAACATGGCACAAATCCATGAAGTCACTTACAAGTGGACTGAGTCATGTTGGTAGGTGTAGACTACCTGGTTGGGGACCGCGAGATGATAGCAACCGATGGTTAGAGACCCTGAATGACATGGCTCAAAATCGTTTGCAATGGCGTAGGTGCATACACTCTTTGTGTTCTCCCAAATTCTAATCTCCTGATTCCTCCTTGTCTCTTTTTTCTCTTTCCAAATTTATTTCACTGTATTATACTCTTTAAATAGCATCTTCAAACCCTAATCTTTCCGATTACTGCTTATACTCTTATTACCTCTACCACTACGGGATTTGAATCGATAACTGTGTCTCTGTGCTAATGTGGTATGACAACTCGAACTGATGTACATACGTACGAAGTTCTACGTTGTTACTGGCTGACTGACAGATATATACACTACTGTTAAGTTTTTAATGATGATGAAAACTACTCAATCTAAGTTACTTATTATTATTTTAATTAAAAATAATAATAACTGACTATCATGTATTTTGGATGAATAAAAATATAACTACTGAATAATTAAAATGAGTAGAATTATTTGAAAGGATAAATTGTAAATAAGAAGTAAATCTATGATATAAATGAATCATTTGATAGATTGTTTTTCCCTAATATGATTATAAAAAGCGATAATAATAATAATAATGGTAACAATAATAATAATACAAAACAAGAAGAAGTATGCACAATAGGAATTATACTATACTAACTAGATAGAGACATAGACGGTAATGAAAATTCACTTCAATGATATATTTAGCCGGTATCTATGAGTAATTTTGCACTTGTACACGTACCAACTATACGATGTATGTATAAAGTTGGAAGTTGTGTGTGTGTGTGTGCATATATGTGTGTATGTGGGCGTGTACGTGAAACAATTCTATACTTTTGTTTTTCATAGAAACTTTAACTGTAAGCCTTTAAGTAAATCTGTCAATCATATTACCTATAAGCAACATTCTAATAAGATGAGAAAATTTGATAATAACATGTATATTCTATGAATGAATAAAGACCAATATTGAAATGTTTCATTGAGATTTTCCTAATGGTTAGTTTTTCGTTTATTTTAAGAGAAAGGACAAAATATCGACTATATGAAAATGGTATTTTTAATTTTAAAAAAAGAAAAACAACATTTGCCATAGCACCAGTACTTTTGTGTTTCGATTGGGTATGACAGATGGGGTTACAATAGTCATAGAGAGAAAAGATTCAGGCATAATGTTTGTCTTTTGTTTAAAAAGTGGCTAAAACAAAAATGAAGTTGATATCCTTAATGTCACAATACAATGTTACAATACAAAGTTGAATTTTATAATGATTAATCTGTAATTTTATGATTATGTTGGGGTGATTCAGAAAATTTCTTGCAAAAGACGATCAAGGATCAGGAAACATTAAGAAGCGTCTCATCTAATCAACGTTCACTTGAAGTGTTAGCCAGAAATATCAAGGAAGTGAAACGTCACATGAAGAGGTTTTGATTGACTGATTGCAATACTGCTACTATGTTTAGTAGCATTCCAGAATCTTCGAGCAACCCAAGGACATTTAAAATATTATAAAAACCCTATATCTTTTTTTGTATTGAAATGAACCTTGGAGTAAAGTACTTCTCGCATACTTTGCGCCTTCTGTCTCGTGTTCAAGTCGCTGTATAGTTCTAGCTTGGGGGTTACAGAATAGCTTAGGAAACAAAGATAGCGTTTAATCAGCAAGACTTATCAGACTACTTATTAAAAATGGAACTTTGAAATTATAGTTATGTTTCTAAGTAATTAGTTTCATCGATTTCTAAAAAGGTATATCAATGGATGATATGTAGAAGATACAGTCTTTGGTGTGAATTTAATTTATGGACAATCATTGAGCGATGCTAAATTAACCATGAGAATGTTCACCTACTAACTAGGACTAATAAAAGGTTATAAGTCAATGTAAGAAATTAGAATTATGATTTATAGTTGATAGTTAATATTAGGAATTAGATGTAGAGTTTTCATTCACTAACTGACATCTAGTTAAAATGCTAAAACATTATTTAACCAAATCAGTGAATGAATTTCGCATCAAAACCCAAGATCTATTATCTTATATCTGATTGATTCGTCTATAAATTATAATCTCGCTCAGATTTTTTTCTTCTTTTTCAGTCATACTGACTGTATTGTGGGTTACTATTAAAATTTCTTACAGCATCAACGTGATCTTAATGAGGAGTTGATATAAATTGGATAAGTATAGTCAAACCGGAGAATGTTGAATAAATGTTCTGACTTAGTTTATCACTTCTCTGTTGAATCATAACTGTATGCCTGTAATAATTTTTAAAGTAGGGTAAAATGATTACATAAGTATGCTGTTTAAATTTTTTATGGATCTTTTCAATTAATGTCATTTCATGACGGATAAATGTCGTTCTATTTAATTTTTAGCAATTGAAGTGGGATTTTGGATGGATATCTTGAAGACCTAGTAGGAGCCTTCGGGAAAAATCATGAAATAAAACGACACTTCACATTTACTATCATATTATCACAAACTCAATCAGATCAAAAACTTAAAACGGTTAAATTCCAGCTTAGTGTGTTTAAGATACTCTACTGTGTTAATAACATTAACTTCTTCCTGGAGAAGAATCTTATTATGAATACATGTTTGTACGCTGTTATTCAGTGCACATAACTGCTTACTGCTTTCCAAATAATTCTCTAACTGATGTCAATTTGTGATAAAATATTATTTCTTAAAATTTTATGGATAATGCTAATAATTCATTC